ATAATATTAATAATAAAAATAAATATAAGCTGATGTAAAAGCTGAAGCAGAAAAACCTAGCAACAAATGATGCAACACATGAAATTTTTCTCTATCAGCTAATAAAAAACACCAAAGCTCAAAAATGGCTAAAAATGCTATATGAAAACACGCAAAAATGCACAAACATTGCAGTAAAATTTGCACGAAAAAAGCTGAAAATTGCTACTCTCTGATGTGAATGAAGCCTAACAATCTTTAAATTTGTAAACTTATTTTGTGAAGATCCCACACATTTAATTCCCTGAATTCTCTGTCACATTTTCACTATGCCCTGTGAGTAGGCACTGCTACGTCACACATTTAACAGAGCCTGCCTTCTGATCTACAGAGGTGCTGCGAGGAGGAGGAGTCTCAGGAGGCAGAGTCAGTATGGGAAACACTGATTACAGTAGCAAGTAACATGGGATATGTAGTCCTTACAAATTGAAGGTAAACAGCAGAGGAGAAGCTGCAAACTATGCAGGGAATCCAGGAAGTTGTGGAAAGAGATGGTCAGCAGACAGGCAGCACTCACAACACTCACAAAAAGCAATTTTTCAAGTAAGCTTTTATTGGATTGTCAAAAATACCCATTGTTTGTATTGTTATTATAATGCTGATGTTATTAAATGAAAGTGTATGTTGTGACCACAGATCTAATTTACTCTTTAGACAAAATAAGGTTTATTTCCTTTTTTTATTATTCTTACCAAATTGTTTTTAATTTTTTAGTTATATGTATTCTTTAGCAGCCATCTGTATATAATTAAAATAATTAAAGAATCATAGTGAAGACTCACTCCAGTTGTCAGTTTTCTCACACATTTGTCTCACAGGCATTTTAGTCCTTCCCTACTCTAAAATCACAAATATGTCTTTGCTTTAGATATATTAACTGCTTCCCATCTGCCCTATAGCAGACATACTGCTACAAGGTGGCATGGGTGCACAAAATCACTTATATGTATGCCCTACCCGCGCCGCCATTTGCAGCCTCAGCTGTCAATCACCGGGTCCTGGCTGGTGATTAATCGCCGGCACCCGGTGATCGCCGAGTATTACTGATGGGGGAGAGAACTGTATGTAAACAATACAGTTCTCTCCCTTGTCAGCTCCTGCACACTGCTTTGGATGGCTCTGCATAGCACAGCCATGCAAAGCATAGCACATAATGTGAAACAGCACACAGTTAACCCTTTGATTGCCCCACATGCTAACCCCTTCTTGCTCAGTGCCATTAGTACAGTGTCAGTGTCAGTTACACTAAGTCAGATCCCCCCAGTGTCAGAGTGCCTGCCACAGTCCCGCAGTCCTGTTATAAGTCACTGATCGCTGCCATTACTAGTAAAGAAAAAAACAATTCTAGTATGTATACCGACGAAATTTAATGTTTTACATTTATTTATTGGACATGTTTTATTGTAAAAAGTCAAAAATATTGGGTTTTATTCTCAAAGTTGTCAATCTTTTTTTATTTATAAAAAACAAAAATAAAAAACACACAGGCAATCAAATACCACCAAAAGAAAGCTGTTTTTGTGGGAAATAAAGTATGCAAATTTCATAGTAACAAAAATTAAAATTCCAGTATCTATACCGCCATTTGTAAACGCTATAACTTTTATGTAAACCAATTCATTGACACATCTTGGGATTTTTTTTTTAGCAGTCATGTCGCAGAATACATTTTGTCCTAAATTTGTAACGAAATTTGATTTTTAAAATTTTGTTTACTGCACATGTTTAACCACTTAGTAGGTGCCTTCTACTTATTCTTATGTGGTAGTGCAGTGTTAATTTTGATGTAAATTTTCAATTTAGTCTTTTGACTAAAATGTCATTTTAGTTTTAGCCGTATTTTAATCTTTTGAATAAAATGCCATTTTACTTTTAGCTGTATTTTAGTCATCTGAATTGTTTTATTTGCAGTTGTATTTTAGTCGACTGAAATTGTTTCAATTTAGTCAATGAAAATATTTTCGGTAACGGAATTAACACTGGTTAGAAGTCACTTTTCTCTTCAATACTTTGTTCAGTACAGTTTAGCTGAACCACATCTGTACAATGACCACAGTGGATGCTTGCTTAGCGCTGTTGCCATTTATAGAGCACCTTTTTTTCCAATGAGTACAAGGCATTCTCTGTTTGGATGAGGTGGAGAGCGTGATGTCATTGCCCCTCCTCTCCACCTCATCCAATCAGAGAATGACTTGTACTTGTTGAACAAATACAAACAAGACATTACTGGTGGGAGTGGCAAGCAAGCAGCCCCTGTGGTCAGTATGCAGAGCCACTGGACCAATGTAAGTATGCAATCCAAATAATTCCTGCAATTGAGCTTTGAATATTTTTGAAGACATGAACAGTTTAGGTGCTCCTTAGTACAGATGTCTGAGGTTACAGACTAAGAGATATATATGACATTAGGAATATGGCTGTTACAGTATTTCTCAGACATGACGGGGAGATTCCAGCCTTAACTATTCTAAAGACAAGGGTAACACAGACACAGATAAAAGAAATGTCATGTGTGCACTGCATATTTATAAGTAGGATAAGACTTTGACTCATTTTTTCAAAGCCAGAAGCAAAAAAAAAGTTCAGTCTAGCTGTGACTATTTTCTACCACAAATGTTTTTCTAATTATATATGCATTAAGCATATCTAAACCCATGAACAAAAATATAATGCAGCTTACCAGTCTTTAGATATGATGGCTGCATGAGCTTTTTTTTTCTTTTCTTTTTACCTGGTGATCCTGCCAGTAACACACTTCCTGTTCAAAGCCTATTCACTGTGCATTATCAATGGAACCACAGCATTATCACCCTAGGGCTGCTCTGTTCATTTAGACTACGGACAAATATCTCCTCCTCTCCTCATCACCATTCCAAGGGATTTGTAGTGATTTGTTTGAGACTTCGGTACAGCTCACATGAAGCAACAACTGCATTGCTAGTAAGAACAACAGGTATTTTCTGTACTTGCAAAAAAATGTCCTTAGTCTGAAAAAGCAAAACTAATGCATCCTACACATCTAAAGATTGCTAAGCTGCAACATATTACTTTTGTGCTTTTGGGTTCGGATAACTAATGTTCAGATTGAAAGTTACATTTTATTACAGTATATGAGATGTTGTACATATATTTTAAGTTTAACTTTCCACCATTAAAAGGGATTTCCAGGAAAATGGGGAGGCCCAGGTCAAATTTACCAGCCTTATATGTGTCCATTAACTGGACCATATCTCTATCGCTAATTTACACTCCTATTTTTATATATTATAATTGTATTTAATACACTGCTTAAAAAATGTTTTTTTTTTTTATGTTAAACTTACAAATACATAAGGCATCATGCATGTTGGACTGTTGTTGAGTCTGTATCATAAAATCCTGGCATTTTTACCCACCTTGAAAGCCACAATTAAAGTTGGTCATGGAAGTGAATGCCTGTATGTGGACTGTAGTCCAGTATGCACCAGTATTTTAATGCATCAATTTAAACACATACAAGCACATATGAAATATTCCTCAAGCACAGAATTTGTGTGATCTGGGATTATGTCATACGAGCATGCTCATGTTTATGTCGATACCAAAACATTATATTTAACATTAGTATTTGATAACCAAATACCACCCAAGCCATACTCTTCGCTCCTCACAAGACCTCCTATTTTCTAGCTCCCTGGTCTCCTCCTCCCACGCCTGACTGCAGGACTACTCCAGGACTTCCTCCATCCTCTGGAACTCACTACCCCAATCCATCAGACTGTAACCTACCCTCCTCACCTTTAGGCGCACCCTCAAAACCCATCTCTTCAGGGAAGCCTACCCCACCCTCACCTAACAGCCGATCTCCTCCACTCCTCCCACCACTCCATCCCCCACAGCCACTTCCTCCTGTACAAATACCCCCTCCCTTCTAGATTGTAAGCTCGAAGAGCAGGGCCCTCGAACCCCTCGTGTATTGTTTTGTTACTGTATTGTCTCATATACTGTCCCCCCACTATATTGTACAGCGCTGAGCAAACTTTTTGGCGCTATATTAACACTGTATAATAATATAATAATAATAATTATAATATGAAAACATTTATGTATACCTGAGTGTGGTGTTGTACATCTGTTCACTTCTATAAATGGCTGTATGCACTACATGCAGGGTGGCGCATACACTCATCCATAAAAGTAAATGAGGATAAATGCTGAGATTTTACTCTATTTTAAGGCTCAAAGTGGGTTATTTACTAAAACTGAAGCATGCTTCAGGAGGGTTCAGGAGGACAGTATTTTCAACAGGAAACCAAAATCAAAAAACACGGGGACATGACCTTTCCCTGTTCAAGTTCAATTCTTTTGCCATCATTTGCACTCTCAATCTTCGATCTTAGCATACCAGGGTTTGCACTCTGTCCACATTTGTGCCAGTCCTTTGGATTTTGGCTGCCCATTTCTTGCATCATCGTGGCCAGCTTCCCACCCCTCAGTAAACTGCCTATGAAATTCAAAAACACATACCGTATTTCTCGCTCCATAAGACGCATGTGACCATAAGACGCACCTAGGTTTTAGAGGAGGAAAACAAGGAAAAAAATATTCAAAACCAATGGATTGCAGACATAGTACAGGAAATGGCCAGAGACTGCGGATGTACTATAGGAGATGACCAGAGATTGCAAACATAGTACAGGAGATGACCAGAGAATGCAGATGTACTACAGGAGATGACCAGAGACTGCAGACATAGTACAGGAGATGACCAGAGACTGCAGACATAGTACAGGAGATGACCAGGGACTGCGGACATACTACAGGAGATGACCAGAGACTGCAGACATAGTACAGGAGATGACCAGAGATGGCAAACATAGTACAGGAGATGACCAAAGACTGTGGACTTAGTACAGGAGATGACCAGAGACTGTGGACATACTACAGGAGATGACCAGAGACTGCGGACATAATAGGATACAGGAGATGACCAGAGACTGCGGACATAGTACAGGAGATGACCAGAGACTGCAGACATAGTACAGGAGATGACCAGAGACTGCGTACATAGTACAGGAGATGACCAGAGACTGCAGACATAGTAAAGGAGATGACCTGAGTCTGCAGACATAGTACAGGAAATGACCAGAGACTGCGGACATAGTACAGGAGAAGACCTGGACCTGCGGACATTGTACAGGAGATGACCAGAGACTGCTGACATAGTACAGGAAATGACCAGAGATTGCAGACATACTGCAGGAGATGACCAGAGACTGTGGACATACTACAGATGACCAGAGACTGCTGACATAGTACAGGAGATGACCAGAGACTGCAGACATAGTACAGGAGATGACCAGAGACTGCGGACATACTACAGATGACCAGAGACTGCAGACATAGTACAGGAGATGACCAGAGACTGCAGACATAGTACAGGAGATGACCAGAGACTGCAGACATAGTACAGGAGATGACCAGAGACTGCAGACATAGTACAGGAGATGACCAGAGATTGCGGACATAGTACAGGAGATGACCAGAGCCTGCGGATATAGTACAGGAGATGACCAGAGACTGCAGATATAGTACAGGAGATGACCAGAGACTGCAGACATAGTACAGGAGATGACCAGGGACTGCAGACCTTTGGGGAGCGGGGGGGGGGGGGGGGGCTGGTACCCAAATTTGACAGGTACCTGCTCCCACTTCCGCTGCGATCACCTAGGTGATTGGAAGCAGAAGTTGTCCTCCCTCCCTTCCTCCATGTAGTCTTCTGGGGCACGTGATAGGTCCCAGAAGATTACGTGGTCATTCACAATGCGCAGCACTTCTCGCACATGCGCAGTGGGCACTGTGAAGTTGCAAGCTGTCACAGCCGGGTTCCCATGCTAAAGATGCCGACGCCAGGGAGAGAAGATGGCAGTGAAACCAGCGGTGGTGAGGACACCGATGGACCGAAGAACAGGTAAGTGGCTGTATTTTAAAAGTCAGCAGCTACAGTTTTTGTAGCTGCTGACTTTTTATTCTGCTGGAACTTCACTTTAAGGGGCAGCTGCTTTGGGCCCTGCCTGGTGCTGCCACAGAAGAGCCGAGCAGCCGGCCCGGTATTCTAACATGGTGGCAGCGACGGGGGGAATGCAGGCCCGGCCGCTCCATATTCGCTCCATAAAACGCACAGACATTTCCCCCCAATTTTTTGGAGCAAGAAATACGGTAATTTTTTAATGGAATGCTCACTATAAGCTTGTTGTAACAAAGCTAAATTTTGACTTGCACCTTTGCCAATTTTCATGCAAAATTGGAAGGTAATCTGCTGCTCCAGATTCCTGTTGCACATTTTTTGAAAACAGCACAAAACACACACGTGTTATTTTTTCTACCACTCTGTAAAGACTGAGTCAACTGGTCTGTGAAACAGACCAGTGCATATTAGAACATGTCACAACACACTTGAGTACAAATGGCTGCGTGACTCACCACAATAGTGCTATGCCACAGGCAATCCGGAAGTTAAATTGTCACACCTTAAAAAAAAAAAATAATATACTGTATATATATGTACACAGTATGTATAATACAGCTCAGCATACAGAGTGCAGATGTCAAGAGTATGTTGTGTACTGAATATAGAGGACAGTGATTGGGAGTATGCAATGTATAAACAGCCTACAGAGCGTAGAAACCAAAAGTATGTAACATACAGCACAGTTGTATACTGATCAGCGGTATGTAACATATAGTATAATGTACAAAGTATGGTGGCCAAGTGTATATAATATACACTGTACAATAACTATTCCTAATATGTGTGCTGTTCAGTACATTTTATTGACCTCTGCACTCCCAGTGTACTGAGTACACTGTGAAGCCAAAACTATTTTTTTTTTAGTTTTGGATGGCATGGGAAAGGGATAGAACTTCTCTTATGTTTGGATGGATTTTTCCCTCACTTCCTATCCTGCTTACAATGCTTTACCAGAAAGGAAGTAAAGGGAACTCTCCAACAGCAACACAGACAGAGAAAAATTAAAAGCAAGTCAAAGAAATCTATACGTTGGTAAGCTCTGGATGCCTACATGAAATCGGGAGCTTTCCGATCACGTGACCACTGTGACAGTCCATCACAGCAAGGGAAAATGTCACCAGCACACCGAGGATCACCAATATGGGTCCAAAAGTTTTAATGAACGATCACATAGTTACAGCAAGGCAACGTTTCGGAGTCTCGCAGGACCCCTTCACCAGGCATGTGATGTCAGGGTCACATACCTGATGAAGGTGTCCTGTGAGACTCCGAAACGTTGCCTTGCTGTAACTATGTGATCGTTCATTAAAACCTTTTGGACCCATATTGGTGATCTTTGGTGTGCTGGTGACATTTTCCCTTGCTGATTCTGTTCGGTTCCAGCCGTTGGTCGCTGCAGCACCCACTTATACACACAGCCATTTTTAATGCAGGAACGTGTGCGTTTGGATTGTACACTTGCAGTCAATCACAGCAGTCACATGACCCGAATGCCCACCTCTCAGCTTTTAGAACTCTTAAAAGGCTGTGAAGTGGTCAGCAGGAAGGGGTTAACAGCCATTTTTGATTGTTTTATATCTGTTTTCCATGGATTGAACACAAGGTTAAGCAGTTTATTTCACATGTACATTCCATAATTTGACATTTACATCACCAGTGTCACTGAGTGTCTTGCTCATAGAAACATCTAAGCCTTCTAGTTTATTGTTTTTGATGACTTCAACTAAGACATTAGAAAAACATAATTCCTTTTTTATTACATTCTAGGGAGATGCCTTTAAGCTGTATGTAGTGTTATTGAACAGAACTATTCTCATGGTAAACATCAGTAACACCATATACCTTTTTTTACTTCTTTATTATTGCTTGGATTCAGTATAGCAGTGGTAGTACCTCAGTCTGATTCATACTTTTACACAAGTTGGCTTTAGTTGAGCCACTTGTACCTGACACAGAAAAATCTGCCCTTGCATAGTGGCCTTTGTTTTAATGTTCAGTGTGACGGAGGGTAGGCAGGACAGAACACACAAGGCAGACGGCAAACAGTTATAGCTTTATTAAAACAGACAACAGTCACTCAATGGGGAGTAGTGCAGAGAGAGAGAGCCCAAATTACTTGTAATCCACCCCCAGAGGGCAAAGGTAAAGTCTCTACAGCAGTTTGTAATCCAACAGGGAGGTAGTAGGCAGTTCATAAACAGTTCAGATAACACAGGGGAAGCATACACTCACGCAGAGCTGATGTGGTAGTCTCAGGTAGAGCTGGCAGCGCCTCAGGCAGAGCTAATGTGGTAGTCTCAGGCAAAGCTGGCAGCGTCTCAGGCAGGGCTGATGTAGCTTCTGGGGTCCCCCTTACTTCAATGGTGCTTAGGCAGAGTCTGGCCACTAGAGTTCCACTGCAGCTGGGATCCCTCAGTGGCTGCACAGCAGAGTGGAGAGACTTGCACTGGCCTCTTAAACCAGTGTTAGACGCTTCCCGGTCATCCTGGTAACCGGGGCGGGCTATGGGTGTCGTGCCTCATTGATCGGCAATGAGGCATACCCCCTGGACACGGGTCCCTCTCACATGAGCTCGGCCTTTGTCTGGGCGATAGGAACGTCCAGACCGTGTGGCGTTACTGTGACACTGGGACCTGGACATTCCCCACAGGAGGTTCGCACCTCTCCAGGGAGAGGTGTGAACCTGCTATCTCTGAGGAGAGATAGCAACAATTACATTTGGGCACAAACAGGCTGGACAGGATGGACAAGGAAACACAATAATTGAATTTGTAGCTGTAAAAAGGATGACAGTGGGGAGAGTACTACATTTGGGCATACAACAGAATGGGCAGGATGGACAAGGAAACACAATAATTGAATTTGTAGCTGTAAACAGGATAACAGTGGGGAGAATACATTAATTGAATAGGGGGCGCATTAATTACAGCTAGGAGCATTTGGCACACAGGAGTATAATACTAATTTGAGGATGCACTTTCTCTGGACACAAGGGATTAATAAAGGAATTAATAACTGGGACTGGCAGATAACCCATATAGTGACATTCAGATTCTAAAAATGTTTCCTTTTCAGGGAGTGAAAGGCCTGTAGTATAAAGATAGATAGAGAATAAACATGACTTTTGATAGTTTAGAGAGAAACTGGTCCAGTCCCAGCCATTTACCCTCCCACCAACATTACATTATTTATTTGGATCAACATTTCAAGTTACTTATGTTTATCTTTTTCAATAGTTATTATGAAATGTTTGTTTTTTTCATTAAGCTGTCCCTGCACAGGTTAATCAAAGAGAGCGGACTGGTAAGGGTGTAAATTAAACAACTATGAGGGATAGCATTTATTAACTTTTGGGTGTTCAGATGGGACTATTGGCTGTAGATGGCTCTACATGCACTTTATTGCACTTTAGATACTAACCTTCCCTACTGCACCTGTCATGCCTGAGAGGCACCTCAATGCACCTGGGGAAATTTGTGACAGAGAAGCTGCATTTTTGTAACCTTGGATGATGGTACAATTTTTTGGGTGCACACCACTGTACAGAAACAGTCACTTTCACTTACTAATAGGTGTCCATGTTGGACCATTGACTAGAGGAGGCCCTATGTGATTTTTAGGTAGTAGCCTGTCCTGTTGCATGTGTTATGCCTAAGAGGGCATTTACTGCAGTGGAGGAATTTTGTGACAGAGAAGCTGCATTTTAATGACCTGAGGTGAAGGTGTGTGGTGTTTTCGGTGCACAGTGTTTGTAAAGTTATTTTGGGGGTATTTTTGAAAGGCTGCAATGAGCTGTTGGGACAATAAAGGAAAGCATAAACATGTTTTAACTTAATGTACTCCTTGTATTAAAGTAAAAAATGTTTAGAAGTCAGCATCCCCTTGTAGCAATCATGCACACAGAGATGGATGCGGTTATCCATTTTGCTCCAAACCCCTCCATATTGTATCTCTCCCAAATCAGATTCTTCCGACATCCCCCCCCCCCCCCTCTGTTGAGTGACATGTGGTCTGTTTGTTGCAGAGAGCACAGGCAGCAAACTCATTGGGAGGGCGTCATGGCTATAAAACCCCCAGCCGAGCTGGTGCCTAGATGCCTGTTAGCTTGCAATCTGGGATATCGTAAGACCATAAACCAAGCCCTCACGGAACTTCAAAAGACATGCCAGGGAGTCATAAAACAGACATTTTAAAACCCAGTTTTCCATATAATGTTTTATCTCCAAATAGGAAATAATTACACAAACATGGAACACATATTCGGATGGCTCACTTTAAGACAAGTCGTCTGGTATATTACACCCCCTAGCTGACATATACAGGATAGCAGAAAATTATATCTCTTTAACCATCCAAGCAGGTATCTCATATTTCATATGTAGACATTCCACAGAATATTCTGGGTATTAATCTACTCGTGAATAGAATGTTACATGTACCTAGGAAAAGTTATTGGCCATAGTATAATTTGGGAAGGCTTTGGTCATAGCCTGAGCTCCCTGCCTACACAACCCCCTCCCCAAATGAGGCGATTGGTTCTCTGCTTTAGGGAGACACCTTGCTGAGTTCCTAGATGAAGGCTGTGGTGCTTAAAGTAA